TGAGGGTGGTGAAACCCTGGCAGGGGTTGCCCAGAGAGGGGGTGGAGGCCCCATCCCTGGGACCATTCCAGGCCAGGTTGGCCGGGGCTGTGAGCAACCTGATGTGGTTCAAGGTGTCCCTGCTCCTGCAGGGGGGTTGGGCTGGGTGACCTCTGCGGGTCCCTTCCAGCCCAAACCATTCCATGATTCTGATCCCACAAACTTTTGCAGTCAGGTGTGTTTTTTCCAAGTCGGAATAGCAGCGAAGTATGAACTGTGAGATGGGATCAGTGTGGCTTTCGTACTGTCAGCAATAAGTGGAAAAAGGTGATAGCTGATCTAGCTCACCCACATTTCAAGAGGGCATGCAATTAGGGTCTCTGAGATAAAGATTTCCCTTTCTCACCCCGCCTCCCACCCCCAGATCTGTGCAGCTGTGGATGTAAGAGAATGGTCGTTGTGTGAAAGCAATGGCTGGGTGGAAGGTGGGAAAGTGAGATCCAGTGAGTGGCTCCTTTTCATGGTCCAGGGAGGGCCCTGGGCCTCTCCTGCCCAGCATTTTATTCCTGAATGATCTCGATGAACGGTGAGCACTGAAGAGATGGACTGAATTGCTGAGAATAGCAAACTTTGGTGTCTTGAGCCATTTGAGGTTTCCCAGGGAGCCCAAGACCACCTCATTATGGGGCTGGCAGGTGTGGCACAGGGCTTCTAGGAAACCTGGGCCTTCGGATGCCAGCTGGGATGCCCCCAGACCTAAAATGGTACTTGATGCCTGAGTTTAGGGAGCTGAACATTACTGGAAGTGACTGCAGGCTAAAATAATGGGCAGCGATGCAGCTGAAGCACAGTAGTCTGGGATTTACGTACGTGCTTGTGGGTTTGGAGGAAGGAGATCTCGGGCGTGTGGCAGTTACGTGCAGCAGTGACCGAAAGGCGGGTAAGATGCTAAGATTTAGGAAAGCAAATGAAGAACAGAACACAGTCACTGCAAAAATCCCGGGGGTGCCTGTGTCTTGAAAACTGGAGCTCTGGTCCCTGCAGCTCCGAAAGGATGTTGAGGAGGGAAAGGTAGTGAAGGTGATCAGAAAGGTGGATGTGTTTCTGTCTACGGCATGACTAAGGCTAGGGCTCTTCTGCTCGTGAAAGAAGTGACTGAGCAGGCTGTGGTGGAGGTCTGTACATCTGGGGGGTGTGGAAAACATTGTCCCTTACAGGACAAGAATTAGGGGATAGTACACAAAACAAGCAAATGAGAGGTTTCAAGTGAAAAGGACTTGGTTTTTTGTGCAGCTAGAGAAAGTCCTTGCTGCAGGAGGACACTGGATGCTCTCAGGTTATGCAGGCACCAAAAAAAAATGACTTTAGTCTGCGATGGAAATTTGTCACATGAATATCATCTGGTGCACCTGAGCCAACAGTTGCTGGATGCTGGAGCAGTAGCACTAATAGTCCACGGTCAGTGGTGCCCCTTAGAGGCGTGAGGGACCATCTTGGGACTGAATGGGTGGTTTGAGTGCGATCAGCAGCGCAGGCCTCCTGTGGGGAAGGTTGCAAGTGTCTCTGAAAGTTTCTGGTACTTCCCTTGATAAGCACCTCTGGTTCTGTGAGGTCCCAAGAGAGCAGATCTTGAGCATGATTAAAGAGATTTGATTCTGTAGTTGAGACTTCTAGTCAGGGAGGGGGGTGAGAGGTGGTGGGTGGTGAAGCACCAAGACGTTTCTGCAGCCAGTTAAAGGCTTGAATGCTGCAGAAGGGTTCTCTGCGTGGTGGTGTGCGGATGGGGTGCTGAGCATGTTACTGCACTGTGGTGGGCGCAGGGTTTGTATGCTGAGAACTTAGTCTGGGTGACTGCTTGCCATGGAATACCTCCTTGGAGAGCTGAGCTTCCAGGGTCAATGTAGCCGTGTCCTTAGATATCACTGTTGTTGACGCAGTTACTGCTGAGCAGATGGTGGAGTGAGAGTGGGCAGGCAGTCTGATAAATAAACCCAGGATGCTGAGCAGAGGTGGAGTGAGAGTGGGCAGGCAGTCTGATAAATGTGACTCTGCAAACCTCTTGTCTGGCTCCGGGTGGCTGCAGGCACGCTGGGACTAGCGTGGGTCACCCAGCATCACTTTGGGCTTCTGGATTTCCAGCAGTGCTTCAGGGGTGGTTTTGGGTCTGGTGTCAGCCCCGTTGCCCGCTGTGAGTGGAGCTGGAGGCTGTGGGACAACCGCGGTCCCTTCTGGGGCCAGCTGAGCTGGCCAGGCTGACCTGCCAGCTTCTCTTGGGTGTTGTGGGTGCTCATCGACATGGCTTCCAGATTTTACTGACCTAAAATGTCCCGGGCACCTCCACGCTCCCCTGAGATTGGTTTCACGCTGCGGCAGGCTGCTCTGGAGAGACGCAGCTCGCCCAGCACGCGCTGCCCGCTGTGCCTGCGCCCTTCTGGGGCTTGGTGGGTTCAGACCCCGTTCTCCAACGTGGCTGTATCGTTCTGCCTGCTCTGACCGTGATTTCGTTCTGTTTGTCTGCCTCTTTAGTGACGGTCCCATCTGTCGAATCTGTCATGAAGGTGGAAATGGGGAGGGACTGCTTTCCCCGTGTGACTGCACAGGAACACTGGGCACCGTGCACAAGAGCTGCCTGGAAAAATGGTTATCCTCCTCCAACACAAGTTACTGTGAGCTCTGCCACACAGAATTTGTTGTAGAGAGAAGACCGAGACCTTTGACAGAGGTACCGCTTTCTTCCTGCTTCACTTTTATTTCCTTACCATTTGAGAGAAAATGACTGATTTGCCCTACTGTCCTTGTGGTTCTTGCTGTCTCCTCCTCCTCGCAGTACCTTAGGGCTCACAAAGAACGATTTGCTTAGAGAGATCAAATCTCTTAGCAGACCAAGCGATGTAGTTGCAAAAATGCAGTAGTGATGTTTGGGGCAACTCTTACCTGTGAACCCCCCACGTGCTACCTACCAGCGCAGGCTGTAGGACTACAGACAACATTGTGCTTGTAGATCTACTTTAATGCCTGAGCATCGAAACGCAGAGGTCAGCACGTGTCCGACTGAAATACAGTCTCCATTTGGAAAGCTCTCCAAAATATTCTTTTTTCCTGTAAGTTGAACACCCGCCTCCTGGTGTTGCATTAGTGCAGCCCTCCTGCAGGTGACTTCCTTGTCATGTTCTGCTCTGAGAAGTGAGCTGTGGCGATTGCTGGCGCTGTGCATAGGAGACCCGTCCTCCCTTGCCTAATATCGATGAGTGCTTCGAAGCCTTTGGGCCTTGCTCCTTTCCGCTGAGCTGTGGTGCCCTACCGCTGCCCTGTGTTCTTCCCCGTCGAAGGAGAAAGCAGGGCATGGCTCAGCCAGTCCTTGCGTCCCTCTTTGTCTTGACCACAGGGGGACCAGGTTCCTGATGGGTCCATCGGCCTCCCAGGGCTGGAAGGCACAATCCAGGCTGGGGTGGATGGGTTGGGTTGGTTTTGTTCTTTTTTTTTATCACAAGGCTCTCTCCATTCCCCTGTTTAGGCGGCCTGCTGTGCTCACGTTTCAGACTTCCTTTGGGCCCCAAAGTTTATAGCAGCTGCCTGTAATGAAGCCCTTTACATGTGGGGAACCAGGGCAGCTTGGACTTGGCCACCTTCTGACCTCAGACTTCAAGCATACATCCCCAAAGAGGAATAAGTAGATCAGTGAGTTACGGTACAAAAGGCTGTAACGGTTTGGTTTAGGGGACTGGTTAATCTCAATCTGCGTGAGTCGTACT